CTCTAAGTGTAATAGCTTCCGAGTTATTCAATGACAAAGATTTGCTTGAAAAGTCTGTGTTGTCAAACCCAAATCATAAAATCAACAACTACTGCGAGGTGCTCAGGACAACAACTATGTACTTTTAATAGTTTTTTCTTTCATAAAATCAAATGACAGGACGAACAAATTGTGCGCCTGACAATAAGCTACGCGCCTGTACATAACCGTTACAGTGCCACTAAGAGCTTTAAGTCGCAAAGATCTGAGGGGCACTGTCACAGCGATCTTGTCACCCTGAGACATAAGTCGACAAGGCCCATATGCCTGTAATTTCACCAGTAACCTTACCCTTCAAAACCTGAAAACAATAATACTAACATTACTGCTTGACGAACTCTTTCACAAGGAGCTCTCTCTACTGCTACTAAATCGTCGACTTCCATGGTCGATCAGGAAAGAATACCCCATCAGTCTTTTCGCTAGGGTATTTTATTACTTCGAAAACACCCCTAAATTTCGTGTTTGACTGGCCAATATTTACCACAAAATGCACCTCTCATAGAACAAAAGCCTTCGATTACTAATCATAAGCTACAACGCACAGTTTAGAAACAATAGTGTCTCCCGCAACACCCATCTCGGATCAATTTAAAAAAAAAAATTTAAATGTCAGGAATTTAACACATATTGTCTGCAAAGAAAATGAACCTATTTTTCCGGTTTTAAATCGCGTATATGTGTTTTTTCAAACAAACCAACATTTCGGGCCCTTTACATTTCGTGGTACGGCCGCTTTTACATTTCTTTGGCCAAATTTAACAGTTAGTGATGTATACATAACTAAAAAAAAAATGTATTTATTTTTCTATTTCTTTATTTATATTCAGGTTACTGAGACCCATAGATACATACCTTACAGACTAACATACATAACAATATAAAATAACACTAATTACTAATTTAACACGTATTTAGGTTGTCGGCGACGTGTGGCGCCATCTGGTGTCAGGCAACCGGCCACGGAATCGCCGGTATAGGACACCCTTCGGCCAGAACTCCTCCTTCATGAAGGTCGACAGATGTTCGGTCGGCACTCTCACCACAAACGAATTAAAGTTCACGTAGTGGCGAGACTCCAACCGCTCGACCCTCAGGGTGTATTTGGATTTCAACCTGATGTACTCCACTATCTCCTCAGACTTCGTGGAGTAATGCAGGCGTGACAGGTACAGCAGCGTTGTCGGGATTGCCGGACGCAGCAAAAAGTTGGACCCTGTCGGTGCAGTGCCGCACAGGTTACGGCTGGTGGGCTTCCTCTTCTTCTTCTCCACCTTTGTGAAGCCGTCATCGTCGCACCGGTCCGTCTGCCTCTGTGGTTTTGCAACTTCAGAGACAGGTACACGAGGTTTTTTCATCCCCTTCGTTGATAGCTGCCTGGCTTGTGGTTGTGGAGCAACGGGTCGGTTAACAGCTGCGACAGCGGCGTAATCACGTGGAGGGGTCAACGTGTTTACGCGTGACGTCTCCGCCGGAGCGGACAATCGAGGGGCGGGGCGCGGGGAATCGCGCTCAGCGACAGCGGTCGGTGACGCATCCGTATGGGCCGACTCAAAACTGCCGATAGATGCATTATGTGCCCCGCGACGAGTATTCACGTTACAGGCCTCGGGTGACCTACTTACCGAAGTTGCACTACTCAGTAATACAACTTGGGCACGTAACTCACAGATGGTGTTATCCGAAGCCTCCAATTTACATTGAACTTCGGCCAGACTTGCTTTCAGGGATGTGATGTCCTTAAGCAGCCTAGTGACATCGACATGGTCGAACGTGACAGGGGGCAGCTTGTGCAGCTCCTTTGCCACGAAAGCAGGCACGTCGTCTGGGTCGGTTTCCTTTAACATCGTTATAATGTCCTGGATGCTCTTCGTTCCTCCATCCCTCCGGCGAGATGGCATCTGCTCGGCCTTGCCAAGCACACGGAAAAGCAGCGCCTTGCCACTGCAAATCTCATCTTCTTTAAAGTTTGATTTGCAGATCTGCATGATGCTGACCTCGTCCATAGTGTCGATGGCGTGTTGTATGAACGCCAGCAGTTCATTGGCTATGAGTTGTTGGGAACCCATAGTCAATTACGCGTAGCGGTCATTACCGCGCGGATCGCGAATTAATATAATTCTTACTGTGTGAGCACGTCCGAATCTGAGCGTGCATCGCACCGGACTGATTATTAGTATTGCCTAACGCAACACTGTTTTCCATTCTACTCGATTTTGAAAAGAAAGGGACGGAAATTATTATGACCTTAGCAATATTATAAAAATATTCTATAACTCTTTTGTTATAACGTTTCGTTTTTTTTCAGTTTTGTAGTATCTATTATCAGTAGTAACGGTAATTTCGATAATTTTTGCAGCACGTTGCGTCAAATGTTCGAATATAGTGAGTAAATAATTACATACATCGCCAGATATGTAGTACAAGTTATACAAAAAAATATATAATGCAAAGAATTAACAGTGCGCTCTCTTTACAAAAATCTGGAGTTGGTCTTCTGTATGAGTTCGTTGGTTTCGAGGACGAAAGTGGTCTAGCTTATTCCACCTAAGATGCTATCCAAAAATCCGAGAATTAATAAACAAATCACAAAAATTTCACACCAGGCCGTCATTAAGTAAACCTCCTCTGATTAATAAGATTTTACCTTAATTTGTCAGCTGTAACATTTTCATTTGTCTTAGCGTTCATCAATTTGATCAATTACCAATAGAAAACCATCTAGTCATTGACTTACAAATAAATGGACGACGGGTCTAATACAAAAACCACGAAAAAAATGTCCCAAGTCAACCTATTCGAAATTTAAATTGTAATGTCATCGCAGTATCGCGCTGTCAGTAGAACAAATGAAGACTAAAGCGGAGTGTCGCACTCTGTATACGATTTTAGCGCCTTACAAGTGCGGACACTTTTTAGCGCGGACCCGACGTCCATATAATTGTAAGTCAATGCATCTAGTAAAATTTATTAAGGCAGTCGCAAGTTATTGACGTGCATATTCATTATTCAAATTAATCGATAAGATCTTCTATTACAAAAAGATGTTATATAATAAGTCATTTTATTGGAAGGACAATAATTTCAATATTTGAAGTCGATTTTAAAAAAGTCTTAATTTTTTTAATTAATCAACATTTTTTAAAATCAAGTAAAATAAAGGACTTAACTATCTATCTAGTATTTTTCTACTATATTATTATTACGACTACTTGCAATCAACAAATGCTTGAACAAAAATAGTTGTATTTAGAATCGATTAATCGAATGAAATACACGTGTTTACGCGTATTTCGTTCAATCAATCGATTTGGAGCGAGCGGGAGGAGGTTTCCATCACTAAATAGCTCTTGTGACATAATAGTGGGTACAAAAAATGTTGCAAGCTTGGTTTTCATACAAATTGCTGTACTTGCGGCGTCTATCTAGATACATGTCTGTGATTGACACTAGACTATAGTTCCGAATTCACAACGTGACTATCAAGACTCAGCTTGTTTTATTTATTTTTATGCAAAATAATTATTGTAAACAACATAATTTTAATAGATTTTATTATGACATACTTTTCTTTTTTTTAACAGTCAAAATTCTCTGAATATAAATAACATTAAGTACTTAAGCATTATACTACGATAAGACACGGCAACATATAGTTCCGAGTATAGTATAGTTTAGAAACATCAGAAGTTTCCGATCGGCCAGTTGTAAATCGCAATTATGCGCCTCGACTCAGAAAAGACGCAGTTTCCGATAGGGAGAGGCAATCAAAATCAAGCTGCTGGACGAGAATTTTTCAACTGTACTCGGCTTTGTCGGACATTTCGTTTCACCCTATATAACCATTTTAAGTCAATGTACCTGTTATGGTTATTTTATTTTGAAGAAGCGGTAAAGCTACATAAATGGTGCTTAAAATTCTTGTTAAAATCACGTTAGTAAATATATTTCATAGTATTATGATTTTTTTGAGCTGTAATCAGTTTTGTACTTTCTAGCATATAAAAGTCAAATTTAAATTTAAATTTCAATAAAAGTTTAATTTTCTTCAAAACCATGTAAATGTTTTTTTGTTGGAACATTGAAACGCATCACTTGCTAAGCTTCGTTAGGCATGTCCGGCCTGATAGGACTTTCGGACACTGGGTCATGTCTTCTCATGATTAACAACCTTTTTGTTATATAGTTTCCAAGATACAAAAAGCAGCTTTCCTTCTAAACTTGATCCGCTAAACCATTATCGCCAGTTACATGTTTCTTAGCATGGTATGACTTTTTATTCGTCGTCGTGAAGAAAGACTAGTTACAGGTTTCTTACAATGGTGTAACTTTTTATTCTACTTCGTTATTGTTCTTTGTGATAAGGAACCTGTAACTGGCGTTTCTTACCACAATGTGACTTTTCTTCTTCATAAAGAAAGACTAGTTACAGGTTTCTTACGATACGACTTTTTATTCTTCTTCGTGAAGAAAGACTAGTTATAAGTTTCTTATCACGATATAACTTTTTATTATTTTTCGTGGTTAGAAACCCATAAGTAACTAAACCTAGTGATTCTTACCATGACATAACTTTTTAATTTTTAACCGACTTCAAAAAAAGTAGGTTCTCAGTTCGAATGTATGTTTTTTTTGTACGTATGTTACACGATAACTCCGGTATTTATGAACCGATTTTGATGATTCTTTTTTTGTTAGAAAGAGGGTACCTCCAAGCTGGTCCCATTTAATTTTGAAGAAAATCATCCACCTCTAAGGGTGGCTGTTCACGCCTGAAGATTCATTTTTATAAATAGCGCCCAAATTTTATTATAAGGAGCAATTATTTTAATGGTTAATTTTGCTATTCTCCAATTCAAGGCGTTTTTCTCTCTCAATATACCTTGAGTAGTGAAAACCGATTTTTATTATCTCCTGTGGCGAACCAGTGGATGTATCCGGGTTTGCGCACTTTTCGGTAACCGATTTCAATAAAACTTGGCAAATAGATGTAATTCCACGTACTTTTGAGGACGATTTTATTAGTAGATACTCTGTACTGAGATTATCTAGTTATATTTTAATATTTTAAGTACTGCATATCTGATGTTTGTTCCTTCTAAGAATTTGTTGTTATTGTTTAAGTCATTTGTATGCTCCTCTTCATTCATTCTCTTTTTACATCAACCTAGAAGATGTGTCAGGGTCCGACGGAGAGTGTACAACAACTGAAGGCATTGCTCTTTCCATAGGCGGAGTCCTAGATCTTTGCGACGTGGGTGTTCCAGGTCTGACTCTCAATTCCTGTATATCTATGGTTTCCGGGGTTTGGTCAGAGGTGCCGAGCAAGCGGCGTTTCTTCCATGTGACAAAGCCCAGAATGGTAAGGAATACCACTATGGCTACTGCCCCAAATGCGACGCCAGTCGTGGACGCCGTGGACATAGCGTAGAGACCTGATGGAAGCACATTTACCATTAACACTCTTTAAACTTTGTGCACGGGTTCTAGGATTTTCTAGAATAAATTAATGATAATATTCTTTATTGCACTTCACAAATCACAATTCTAATACAGAATAGTTAGAAATGAACTAATTAATGTAAATAGCAATTTCTTACAGGCAACCTTATAAAATTTGGAGATGCAAAGGGGATGCAATATAAAATATCTTCTGTGTTATTTATGTTTATTAATTATATAATGGTGTCCCTAGCGCGCCACTGTGATTTCATCCACCATAAAAAAAATTATAAAATCTATACAAATGGATCTTTGTACCTGATCCTAACCTGACCATAAATAAATAAATAAATAAAAAAGTCCAAAGATACACGATTAAGTCCCTATATAATAATGTGTGAAAATCGTATAAATTTAAAACATTGTAATTATAATAATGTCTCAAACAACCACAACGATTACGTAGACTCAGACCAGTGAATTCACTGTACTTTGAACAGAGCAACAATATGGACTCTGTTACACTGTCTAGTAGGTACCTACACTGCAAAATATAAATACTTATTGATGGTTAATATTGTATACATAGAAAAAAAATGTTTTAATGTTTCATGTAGTGTCATATCACAGGTATATAAACCATACAAACAGTTGCGCAACTTGAGCAGAGCAACGGCGGGGTAGTCGAGGGGAGGCGACGGCGCGGGCCGCATCCTACTATTTATAGAAGTAGTAATTATTACAGTAGCAAATAATGGATACCGCTTTAGCCTTAAGTAGTGTATAACCCATTATCAAACAACTGTTGTTATACTGCTATTATTCTGATGTTGCGATTCTGCTTTTCATGGCAAGCATTATAGAGTAAGTCATCGATACGATATGATGAATGAACCATCACATACAATCACAAAATTGTTTATCATAATCGAAATTATTGACTCAAACGGGAACGCGAATATGTAAACTAGCGACATGTAGCCTGATGTGGCGTATGACGATGCGCCCGCGCACGGCTAAGCTATTTAATTTCATCTCTTTTTTCGTACGTTATATTCTTGTGTTAGACTGATTAGGTTCTCACTTGGATATTTTTCCAGACAAAGTAATTTATTGCACACATTAATCAAATTTCTTTTTAAAAAAATTAGTTTTTGTATGATATTTCGACGGTGACTAAAAAATCACCTGTATGAAAATCTAACACAGAGTGACCATAATGTGTAAAAGAGTAATCCATATAACATTCTGAGACGTTTTTACTTATCTAATGATAAAAAGAAACGATATAGAAAATTCTTAAACGGTTTTCATGAACATCACAAAATATAATGTCTTTTAGTTATAAATATTAAAATATTTCATTTGATAAAAATTTGATAAGATAAAGCTAGGGCATAAAAATTCAATCGTCAGTTTTCTTAACCCACTTTAACATGAGGACCGTCTGGTGCGCGATAGTTGTGTTGGTGGTAGCAGTCGCGATTGGCGCGGATCACTACCATCCAGACGTTAAATTTAACCCCAAACCAACCGACAACAATGCTACAGAACAAAACCCGGACTACTGGAGAAATGAAGCAAAAGAAGGCATCGAAAAACGACTGCGACGATTACAAAATAAGAACATAGCTCGCAATGTGATCATGTTCCTAGGCGACGGTCTCTCCGTGCCCACACTAGCCGCTGCAAGGATTTTAAAAGGACAGCGCGCAAACCACACTGGTGAAGAAACAGAAATGTTTTTCGAAACATTTCCCACTGTCGGTCTGTCCAAAGTAGGTACACAGGCTATGTCTTTATAACGCCATGTGACATTATCATTTGTCAACTTTGCGATTTTATTACCTATAGACATACTGCCTGGATGCTCAAATCGCGGATTCTGCGTGCACAGCCACTGCTTACCTGACTGGAGTAAAGAACAATTATGGCGCTATCGGAGTCACGGGTGCTGTCAAAAGATACGACTGCGAGGCTTCTACGGATCCTTCTACCCATTTGGATTCGATTGCCGCATGGGCTCTTGCTGAAGGAAAAGACGCTGGTAAGTTCTGAATAAAATTACGTGTTATGATTTTTTTTTTTCAGTAAATGAAGATTTGACATTTTTGCGATGTTGGACTGGTGCGCTGAAGACTGCAGTACAATTGCAATATAAGTTATAGACATATCATTCAGGTCAAAGGTCGCAACCATTAATCAATATTTTATATTAAAATCTCGTTCTCTTGTATAGGCATCGTGACAACGACGCGAATTACTCACGCGTCCCCATCTGGAGCATATGCTAGGGTAGCCAACCGAGGCTGGGAAAACGATGGAGCTGTTATCGACAGAGGATTCGATCCTAAAATGTGTCCTGACATCGCTCATCAGCTCATACACACTGACCCTGGAAAACAATTCAAGGTACAACCGTCGAAACTACGATTTAAAATATGTACATAATTAAATTGAAATTGCGAACGATAGTGTTGCAAAGTATGGATTATTTTTACGCCAGGTCATTTTGGGAGGTGGAAGGAGAGAGTTTTTGCCACAAAACTTCACCGATGAAGAAGGTTTCAATGGGCTTAGGAGGGACAATCGAAATCTCATCGAAGAATGGGCAGCTGACAAAGCAGCAAAGAACGTGAATCATCGCTACGTATGGGACCGTTCTCAGTTAATGAATCTGCGTGACAATCCACCGGAATACATACTAGGCTTATTTGAATCCAGTCACATGCAATATCACATGGAACGAAATAGACAAACAGAGCCAACACTAGCAGAACTTACAGAAGTGGCAATTAACTCCTTGAAACGCAATGAAAAAGGCTTCTTTTTGTTTGTAGAAAGTGGTCGTATCGATCACGCACACCACGACAATTATGTGCAACTGTCTCTAGACGAGACTCTGGAATTTGACATTGCGATAAAAAAGGCAGTGGAAATGCTCGGGGAGGAAGATACATTGATGGTGGTAACCGCTGATCACTCGCACGTAATGGCCTTCAACGGATATTCGGTTCGAGGACATGATATCCTGGGTGCAGCTGAAGAATATGGACATGACGATATACCCTTTCAAACTATCTCATACACTAACGGACCCGGGTACCGGAAGCCCGTAAACAACACTAGAGTTGATGTCACAACCGAAGAAAACTACAGTAAGTTCATTTTTTTGCATAGTTAAGTAGATAGCTTTATGTAACGAATATTTTAAGTAAATGTTATTCCTTTAACTGTGAAAATATCATGCGTGTTAAATTTCAGAGGACTTAAGGTGGATGACCCATGCGGAAGTGTACAGGGATATAGAAACTCACGGTGGTGATGATGTAGCGGTATTCGCCACAGGACCCTATCACCACATGTTCACTGGATTATACGAGCAAAGTCAGATTCCCATGATCATGGCGTACGCTGCATGTATCGGGCCAGGCCTGCATGCTTGCAACAGCGCTGTTCTGAACCATCTGCTGTCTTTGCCAATCTACATAATAGCATTCTTTGTATTGTTACGCGGTTTCCAGCATTAAATGAAATGTAAGGTTGTAGTTTATCAGAGTCAAAAGATACTCGCCGTATCCGTTACCGATGGGCTTAATCGTATTACATGGCAATTAAAAAACTAAAACCTTAGAGTTGTCGAAGTCGGAATTAATGTTAATTATGAATAGGATTAAAATAAAGAATATTAACAAAGATTTTTATTATTTATATGTATTTATGAAAGTTTTTTTATGATATTATAAAAGTGACGGGACGGACAATTCGTGCGCCTGATGGTAAGCGACACGCCTGTCCATAGCAGTTGCAGTGCCACTCAGAGCTTTAAATCGTAAAGATCTGACGGGCACTACCACTGCGCCCGTCACCCTGAGACACAAGTTGACAAGTCCCATGTGCCTGTAATTTCACCAGCACCCTTACCCTTCAAACCGGAACGCATTAATACTCCCATTACTGTTTGGCAACAGAAATAGTTAAGGTGGCAGTACCTACTTCCCTGGAAGAACTCTTTCACAAGGAACTCTAGTACTATTACAGTTCTTATTATATAATCAAAAATGTACGTGTCGAAAGATTATATATTTCACAATTTTTTGTTATATATAAATAGATTTGTCACAGACGGCGCTACGACAAAAAAGGAAAACTTTCTTACTAAGTGTTCGGTCTTTGTATTAATAATTATAACAAACTAGTGGAGTAATTTCACCAAAAAATAATTGAATCATGGTGGTGGAATCCACACCCTGACATTCCATAAACCCTAATTAGTAAGTATAATTATATTATTTAACTATTTTTGTTATTCAATTAAAAGTCGTTTGTATTGTGCAGTCCTTAGAATAATAACGCATAGAATGATAGTTTCATGTCGAAGGAACTGTCACAAGTGAGGCAAAAATCAAATTCATGTAGGCTAGTTTTAGTAGTAGGTTAATTTTCGGTTTTAGTGAATATTTATATAAAAATACAAGTTGAAAAATACAAGTTCCTTGTGGAATGTGATGTTAGTATCTATTTTATGTTTGTCTGACGCATTTTTACACTCATTTACCGCACATTTCGTCATTTTTAGCTAAAATTCTTGATCTGTTCGCGGTGCAAGTTGACCTTGAGCACTGAAGGCCCGCCCGCTCGTGTAGGCCCTTTGAGCGCGCTTCAATTTGCCTCACTTAGCGTGTGCGGACTAGGTTTCTATGCGTTATTATTCTAAGGTGCAATGTAACTGTATATACAGTTTAGCTAAGAAAATTGTACTTCTATTTAATACTAAAATTAATAAAAAGAATAAAATGTGCACTGCAAAGGTTTATAATAAACAATTGTAGGTCATTCTTTTGCAAAGCGCTAATTTGTTGTTGTATTTACCAGTTAAGTTAAGTGTGATAAAGGTTTTAAATCAATATACAAACGTACCCATTTGGTAAGATTACACATAGGTAGTAATATCTATATATTTTATCAATTGCAACGTAAAAGTTGATTTAATAATGTTATTACCGCTTTCAGAGAGCAAATAAATTTGTTATCTAAGTATTAGTACTTAGACTTATAATAATGACATAATCCTGAATTTCCATATTCTTATATATCATCGAGTATATAACCAAAAATAGAGACGAAATGTCATTTAATTTGTTTGAAAACTATTCTGTCATATCATTACTGTGACAACTGCGCTCCGATTGGCTAGCCCGAGTTCGAAACAATTGACGGCTGTCGTCAACTGTTTCACTTCAAATCGACCAGTTAACTTGAGCTTTGCTATAATGGACGAAAATTGCTAAATTACATATTGAATATTTAATTACCGATGAAATGTGATTCCGTTTGTTTTGTAATTAGATGTTTTGCTGTTTCTCCCACCCCACCGAATAGAACAGCACGGCATTATTAGAGATATTGTCTTTATTACAATAAATACAGAATATTTTTTGGAATGTACGGAGACGTACACACAGGTCAGCAGTTGGCCTGTCTATATTTCAGTGCAAACAGTTGATATTTATAAGAGCTGTATCGCTAATGTGTTACCAGGAATATATGGCCCTTATTGCGTCTCTATTTCTGGTTATATACTCTATGTTATGTATATATATAGGTTATTTATAAAATTCTAACCACCTCACTGGACTATGTTACTAACGTCATTACCGACTACTTTTGTTCTATAACTTTTAATGATTCAACACAATATCATATAAAAATGAAAAAACTAATTTTTTTGTCATAGTCCCGCACTAGGGAAACTACAAACAGACAACAACAAATTACATACTAACTTACGAGAGAAATAAATGTAGGCCATACATATATTTCTCCCGGCCTGGGAATCGAACCCAGGACCTTTGCGTGGCAATCCGGCATGATAACCGTTCGGCTACGGAGGCAGTTAAGTCACTATACGCATTGACCAACCAATCAATGACTATACGGCGATAAATTTGTGCGGTAACAAAAGAAATCGTCGAAGAGAACGCTTACGCTTGCACATTTCAACTTATATACCACATACAGATCTAAAAAGGGTCAGATAGTACAACAAAACCTAAAAATAAAATATTTTTGGTGAACTTATTACTTTGTGTAAAATGTCATGGAGCAATAGCATATTTTTATCGAGGGTCTAAAACGAGCCAATATATACTCGAGGTGGTAGGTGTCTATTAATCCTGAGGTGAAAAACTTACTTTTCACTTCGATAGCGAGAAAAAATAACCAATTAAGCACGAAAAATGATCTAAGTACTGCGACGCGTCACTTAAAAGGTCCATACACAAACGCACTAACGCGGGAAAATAATATGGCACCACCATCTATGCGGAATAGGCACGGAACTAAAACCGAACGTTGTCTTTTTAGTACAAACTAAAGCAAGCACTGACTGAGATTGCCTAGATCACTCGAAGTAAATTAAAAAACTGCGTACTTTTTACTCCAGGATTAAATGTGGTTTAAATTATGCCCGCCACGCAAGGTTATAATGGCGTAAGACTTTCAGAACATGAAAAGCGAAAAAGTTGTAACTTATGATGGTACTAATTTGGTCTCTCGAGGTTGTTAACATTTTACAAACAACCCAGTTATGTTATATGTTACTACGATGAATACATTCTTCATAATAGTTCCTGCATTACATTAATTCAACCAATGCGTGCTGTAAACGCTGCACAGATTTTGATTACATTTCACAAAGAATACATCTACTCCTTAATGTGCCGATTCTCAACGAAAGTTGGCGACCATCATGGCTATTCTCATTTTTGAAGCTGCCGCACGAAAGAGGGAACGTGTGCTAAGGTGGAACCAGTGTCCCAGGTTCTTCAAGCACGAGGTTATCTTTCTGCCTCGACTACGCTTTCCTTGTATTTTTCCCTGCATTATTAGTTGAAGAATCCGGTATCTATTGCCCCTCATTACAAAATACTGCAGCTTCCTTTCCTTTACAATTCGGAGTATTTTTAACGTTTTTCTCATTCGACGAAGAACCTCAACATTGGTGACCTTTTGTACCCACGATATGCCAAGCACACGTCTGTACAGCCACATCTCTAAGGATTCCAGTTTTGAGCATAATCCTGGAGTCAAGGTCCAACACTCCATACCGAACAGCAAGACACTGAAGACATCACAGCAGTCCAAATAATGTAAGCCAGCACCTTTACTCTTCAAAACCCAAACGCAATAACGCACATTACTGCTTGGCGGCAGAAATAGGTAAGGTGCCAATACTTCCCTGAACTAACTCTTTCACAAGAACCAATACTTCTCAATCAATGTAATATAAATATTTTTCACCGCCAAACATAAATAAACAATGAGATAAGGTAAGTACCTACTACTACTACATTTCATGCCACTTGGATAAAAACAAACCTATGCGATAATTGTCTCATAATTCTTTGAATAAAGGTAATAACGAGCATAAAGTGTTAATCCACAGTAGGCACAACAAAAAAAACATGGATACAAGGCTCCACACTTTTACTTATCTACCAATATCTACTGGGCAATAAAGATAATTTGGAAAAATATTGCTGTTGATAATATTATTATTAATCTGATAACAATACTTGGACAATAACGGCACAGAGATCGTGTATTTTACTTTCCTCGTTAACATGAGGACCGATTGGTGCGCAATATTAGCCGTGGTGGTAGCAGCCGTTGCAGTCCGTGCTAACCACTACCACCCGGAACTTAAATTCAATAACAAAGCAACCCCCAACAATGCTGCAGAACAAACACCTGACTACTGGAGAAATGAAGCAAAAGAAGGCATCGAAAAACGATTGCGCCGATTACAAAACAATAACATAGCTCGCAATGTCATCATGTTCCTAGGCGACGGTCTTTCCGTGCCCACGCTAGCCGCTGCTAGGATTTTAAAAGGACAGCGCGCAAACCGAACTGGTGAAGAAACAGAAATGTTTTTCGAATCATTTCCCACTGTCGGTCTGTCCAAGGTATGTACATAGAACATAATGTTTAATCTTGAAAGTTTCAGTGAAAGAGAATAAGGAGAGGTGCATGTCAAAACAAAATGTTGTTAATTGCCTAGAGGACGGAAAAAAATAAAGAAAGTTAATGGTAACGGAATTTATACAAATCTAACATTTGAAATGCCAGTCATAGCAGAACATAATGCTACATTTGGAATTTCAATGTCCATAGACATACTGCCTAGATGCTCAAATCGCTGATTCTGCATGCACAGCCACCGCATACTTAACTGGCGTGAAGAACAATTATGGTACTACTGGAGTAACGGGTGCAGTGAAAAGATACGACTGCGAGGCTTCTACGGATCCTTCCACCCATTTGGATTCGATTGCCGCATGGGCTCTTGCAGAAGGGAAAGACGCAGGTAAGTTTCTGTCTATCCGAAATAATTATTTATTTATTAAGGTAGCTTGGAAATCATGGTAAAGTCACAATCATCGACCATCGAGAATAAGGACAGCAACTCTTATTCGATATTTATATGCCAAATTCGCGTTCCCCAACTCAGGTATCGTGACGACAACACGAATTACGCACGCGTCCCCGTCTGGTGCATATGCTAGGATAGCCGACCGAGATTGGGAAAACGACGGAAAAGTTATCGACAAAAAATTTGATCCTAAAGTGTGTCCTGACATCGCTTATCAGCTCATACACACTGAGCCAGGAAAACAGTTCAAGGTATATGCAATGAAACTATGGTTTAAAATACGAAATGAAATTGAAATTACGCAAGATCGATAATATTACAAGTCTTTTTATGTCAGGTAATTTTGGGAGGTGGAAGGAGAGAGTTTTTGCCAGAGAACTTCACCGATGAGGAAGGTTCCAATGGGCTTAGGAGGGACAATCGAAATCTCATCGAAGAATGGGCAGCTGACAAAGCAGCACAGAACGTGATTCATCGCTACGTATGGAACCGTTCTCAGTTAATGAGTCTGCGTGACAATCCACCGGAATACATACTAGGCTTATTTGAATCCAGTCACATGCATTATCACATGGAACGAAATAGACAAACAGAGCCAACACTAGCAGAACTTACAGAAGTCGCAATTAACTCCTTGAGACGCAATGAAAAGGGTTTTTTTTTGTTTGTAGAAAGTGGTCGTATCGATCACGCACATCACGACAATTATGTACAACTGTCTCTAGACGAGACTCTGGAATTTGACATTGCGATAAAAAAGGCAGTGGAAATGCTCGGGGAGGAAGATACATTGATGGTGGTAACCGCTGATCACTCACACGTTATGGCCTTTAACGGATATTCGGTTCGAGGACATGATATCCTGGGTGCAGCGGAAGAATATGGACATGACAATATACCCTTTCAAACTATCTCATACACTAACGGACCCGGGTACCGGAAGCCAGTAAACAACACTAGAGTTGATGTCACAACCGAAGAAAACTACAGTAAGTTCTTTTTTTTGCGTATTTAAGTAGATAGCTTTATGTAACGAATATTTTAAGTAAATGTTATTCCTTTGACTGTGAAAATATCATGCGTGTTAAATTTCAGAGGACCTAAGGTGGATGACCCATGCGGAAGTGTACAGGGACGACGAAACCCACGCTGGTGATGACGTAGCGGTATTCGCCACAGGACCCTATCACCACCTGTTCACTGGACTGTATGAGCAAAGTCAGATTCCCATGATCATGGCGTACGCTGCATGCATCGGTCCCGGACTGCATGCTTGTAGCAGCGCTGTTCTGAACCATCCGCTATCTTTGCCAATCTACATAATTATTTTTCTTTATATTGTTCCGCGTTATATGTTGTAGGGACCTATGTATAAGTTCGTAATCGGATAATGTTGAACGACTTATAGTAATCGATGTCGAAAATGATGCGACACATCGATATTTATGGAAGTACTGATATCAAATCAATAACAAACAAAAAGACCGGTTAATTGTTTACAAAATGTAAGTAATTGTTGATCATGACGTTTGATTTAGTTAGTTGCTAGTTTCCTACGAATGTTAATCTATAATCCAACTCAAAAAGATCCTAAGATATTAAACAATTACTGATAAATACAATTGATAAGCTGTTTACTATTTTCCTTTTGGTAACAGTTTGTTATTTGAGATACTGTTACTAGATATGAATACTGACGAGTATTTTGGCAATAACTTTTTAATCATACTTGCTCGTGTAACGTGAGCCACATATAATGTGAGCCAATCTTTGCAGTATTTTTATCATACGGCTCTCGATAGTTACTTTTCTTTTAACACGGACAAACAGCTGGCTCGGCCACCGCCGTTTTCTTACGCCGCGAGCCCAAAAGCAGTGGACTTTTTGGTTTTATTTATTAAAAATAATATAAAAAACAGTCGGCTTTATTTTATTTACCATAAATGATACCTCATAGAAACCACGGCATACATAACTGTAAACTGTCGCGTTGCGTTATACTAACATTTTAAAATAGGAAGAAACGACGAGATAGTAGCTAGGTTTGCTAATACCTATTAAAATGTCTACGTGCCCTATCGTCCACCTCATCGTTACTTTCCATTGGGTGAGTTAGAGGTCAATTAATGCGTCAAATGGTCAAAATTTATTTATTTTCATCATTGACATACAAATAAATGGACGACGGGTCTAATACAAAAACCACGAAAAAAATGTCCCAAGTCAACCTATTCGAAATTTAAATTGTAATGTCATCGCAGTATCGCGCTGTCAGTAGAACAAATGAAGACTAAAGCGGAGTGTCGCGCTCTGTATACGATTTTAGCGCCTTACAAGTGCGGACACTTTTTAGCGCGGACCCGACGTCCATATAATTGTACGTCAATGATTTTCATAAAATAAATAGATTGTACTACAAGTGCATAAAACGTGCCATTTCACCCGAGTCGTGTCAAAATTGACACGAAAAAAGAGAGACATGAAAAAGGTAATAAAAAAATATTTTTTTTAACGGATATTTTTCAATAGTCTATGATATTAAGCTGAAAAGAACAGATACTACTATGCTCACTGGATACTACACTTTGATCTGACTATTTTTCCAATATTTTCACATTTGACATTGACACCTGTCAAAAGTTGAAGGTACTGGGTATTTCTAAACGTAGAACATATGAGACTTCGAAACAAGTTCTTTCCCATTTCTCACATTTTTCTTATTTTTCGGGAATTTAATGTTCTGACTGTTTGTCGGTACATGATATAAAATTGTATATCGCCACTTTAATGACCAAAACAGCTCTCCCTCTTTTCACCTAAAGATAACTGGGAAGTTGCAATTGCTTGAAGAAATGGCGGTTCCTATGATTTCTAACACCGCTTATGTTTTCAGCAAAATGTCATAAATTCATCATCAACAAACCTTCAACATGAAGCTTGATAACATCAGTATATTCTTTGCCGTCGTCGAGTCCGACACCACATGTCCAATCACCAACGTCCGTGTACTTGACCTTGCGTATGGTGACTGCGCAGTCCCCACGATCCAGGCTCAAGTTTTGCGGATAATAGTACTTGCCCAGAATAGACCTGAAAGTAAAAAATTACGCACATTAGGACCTATGCACACGGCGTGTAGAGGCTCAAAAAGCAGATTATTACGATTGTATCGATTCAAACGCGCGCAAACATCGCGTTGTAAGCAAGAAGCTTGTGTATTTCAATGGAGATTACACTTAGAATTTCGTGTTCAAGACAACTTTTGCTGTGATTTTTTATCCTTTTCATACTTCTTTTTACGTTACTGAGTTATTTCTCTTGAAACTATTTTAAGATATATTTAAAAAGACGCAGTGCGCTAGCTTTGATATATTTTTAGTAAAACTAATCGAAATTAATAATGTCAGTACAAAGTACTAAAAATACCGACCTCAAAAGTCATTCATTCCCTTTTAGGCTTTATTTTACGGACCTCCTATGAGTTCAATGACGTGGCTGTGGCGAAGGTGTTATATAACGCCTACGTACGCAGCAAACTGGAATATGCAGCAATAGTTTGGGATCCTCATGAAGCCAAATACTCTATTATGGTTGAACGTGTTCAGCGTAAATATGCACGATGGCTCTATAGACGGCAGTACGGGTATTACCCATACCTGTATCCATCATACTTCGTTGCGGGCATGGTGGGATTAGACACTTTGTCTCGTAGGCGTAAGATGCTTCAACTGGCTCACTACATTGCTGCGTTTCATCATAAGGTGGATAATAACATTATGTCCAAGGTAGACTTGCTGGTACCTGTGCGTGTGCCTTGGGGTGATGAGGGTGCAGTGGCGCCGCGCCGTAGGCCGCGGCTTTTACACAAGCCCGTCACTCGCACGGTACACGCTTCGAACGCGCCTACCGTTCGCGCAATACGCCTGATCGGAGACTTGCTCACTCAATATGACCATATCGATTTATTCGCTGATAGCTTTGCTTTTATTTATAGAGAATTTTGTAAATTTTTAGAATATTAATTTAATTTTTAATTTTATTTTTGATTTAATTTTTTATTTTTGATTTAATTTTTTATTTTTGATTTAACCTAATTTTTATTGACTTTGTATTTTTGACTTGTAAGCGTGTTGGCTATTTAGCTGTAAGTTTACAATGTAAATAAATAAATAAATAAATAAATAAATATAAGATAAAATTTAAGTATCATTAGCATAATATCTACGTAGCACCATGGCTACGGTGCCATATTATGCGCATCCAACATGTTCTTTGCCAGTTTCGTTGGTAACATAAACATAGTGAACGTAAATTACTATATTTTCTTCCGATTGCAGCTACATATAAATTTCCACGTCTAGTAATTATTAAATTTATCAACTATAATTATCAGAGGTAGGTAGTGGGTTAAAACCCAATCAACTCGCCTGGGTTTTTACCCAAATCCCAAAGGGTTTGTGCCCAAAATCGTGGACAGAAACAGAGAATACGAGGTTTGGTATAATTCCGTACTTTTACAAATTTCGATGTAAAAATCTTTTTTAGATGAAAATGAGGCATCTCCACTCAATATCCACCTTTCAATCCTGTGGATTCTCACTACTGAGGATGCTCGTTACGATTCAATTTTTATTAAAAACAAATTCAAATGCATACGATATAACGATATTTTTCTATGCAACTTTCTAGCGAATCGAATCTATAGAAAGGCAAATCGAAACGTCTTGTAAAAATATTAAAATTGAACAAAACTCGATTAACAAAAAATATTCAGTTGTATATAGTTTTTGCCTTCAATTTCGGACGTTAATGGGTTTTAACCCTGGGTATTAACAAAGTGCCGGGTTAAAACCCTAGCGCTTGCCTACCTCTGAAAAGAATTTTAATTCTGAACTACGTACCCACTTTATTGTTGTTTTGATTTCCATGTGAACTACATAGAGTTGCGAAGCTATAAGTACATTTTGTAATAACATTCACTCAACGATATATCAAGGAAATTAACAAAAATATTACCGAAATAAAGTGTAGTATCCATCTCTATATACATCCAAGTGCAAATAATATTTCTTAACTAAATATAATTGAGGTTATCTGCGCAAAAGTTATGCAACTCACGTTTTTATTTGGATATTATTTTCATGTACAAAAAAATTAAAATAATTATTCATACAAAGATGGATCACTAAGCAAAACTTCCTTCGATCCGCAAAGATCTTCAAGAAGCACACAAAAAAATTGGTAAGGTCTGCTAGTTCGTAGTTTAATTGGGAGAGCGTCAGGCACGATACACTGAAGGCGCTGTTTCGAATCCAGCTGGATCAAAGGAATATTTCTTAGTGTTTGATCTTTGTACATTATAAAAAACTAGTGGATTAGTTTCACAAAAATTATTGAACATATATATATATATAGTATATACCTATAGTAATAAAACATTGTAATATTCAATATTAAAAATGTTGTAATTAAATCTTTTTTATACATGAAAACAGTTTCCAAATAATGTGTTGGTCAAGTTACAGGCACATGGGACTTGTCAGCTTATATCTCAGGGCGACAGGCGCAGTGGCACTACCCCCCAGAACTTTGCTCTTGAGTGGCGCAACTGTTATGGACAGGCCTGTAGCTTTCCATCAGGCACACGACTTGTTCGTCCCGTCACATGATATTATACAGTGTATTGATTTGTATTTTCGCCATATTTAAGAAATTAATAGTCGAACTAATGCTAAATCATCTAAAAATATAAAAGAAATATTCTGTTCAATATTCTGACTAATTGTAGGTATTAGTAAAGTTTTGAAAAATTGTCTCAAGTCGTATGCACCACGCAAGGGCAGTGATCCCGCCACCCGCGTCACCGAGCGATATATAATTTTCCGTAGAATAATAACGCATAGAATGATAGTTTCATATCAAACGCACTGTCACAAGTGAGGCAAAAATCAAATTCATGTAGGCTAGTTTTAGTAGTAGGTTAATTTTCGGTTTTAGTGAATATTTATATAAAAATACAAGTTGAAACGCGTTACTTCCTTGTGGAATGTGATGTTAGTATCTATTTTATGTTTCTCTGACTTATTTTTACAATCATTTACCGCACATTTCGTCATTTTTAGCTAAAATTCTTGAGCTGTTCGCGGTGCAAGTTGACCTTGAGCACTGACGGCCCGCCCGCTCGTGTGGGCCCATTGGGCGCGCTTTAATTTGCCTCACTTAGCGTGAGCGGACTAGGTTTCTATGCGTTATTATTCTAAGTAATTTTCCTCGATCGCTTATTTACCTTTTTTTAAATATGATTATGTACTAGTATTGTTATAATTTACTACTTATATGTATTAATTAGAAAAGTTAACTGAAAAAAGATTTTTGTAACTTAAATTTGGTACTTACCAACTTTAAGTTACATGAAAGTATTGCTAGAAGTAGGTACCTAGGTCCACAGCTGGTGGCTAGCGCCATACCGGAGCCACCACCAGCTATGCAGAGATTCGCACGTGAGTTTCGTTACAACATTAGGCTCCACAACTATGAAAACAGGAACTTCGATACTCGCATCTTCCGCGTAAACTAAACGTTTCACAGCATGCCATAAGAATAATAATGTAATATAACGCACACACTCAACATAGCCCCGCACAAGGGAAACCCTGTGTCGCGAGTGCCGTGGACACACCCAAATTCACGAGATAAATAAATGTAAGCCATACAAATATTTCTCCCGGCCCAGGAATCGAACCTGGGACCTCTGCGTGACAGTTCGGCATGGTAACCGGTCGGCCACGGAGGCCGTTAAAGAATAGAAACGCATTACAGCTCACACTCTAGCTAGTCGGGGTAAAGACCCCGACTCCCTAGCTATCTACCCCGACAACATATAATAATGCTGTACTCTAGTACCATTAAAAGTAATATTGCAGAAAAAAATTAAGCATGGGTTACATCACTTTTGCCCTGATAGCCTCAATAATTCCGTTGTAAAAATTCCAATGAAACTTACTGTGACGGCTTAACAGCTGAATTGATACTAAACGGGGTTCCATTGGGTGGTTCAAATCGACAATATCTTAGTGGTATTTTTTCTTTAGTAGTCACACAAGATAACGTTATCTCTTTCCCATGGACAGCAGTGACCCTCGGCGACTGCGCAGCTACTTGATCCACAACCCTGATTACAATTCTCTGACTGACCTCCTCGCCTATACTCCGTTTTCCAATATGACATCTCCATTCACCGCTGTCTTTCATCGTAACTTTAACTCGAAGGTTGCATAAGCCGTTTTCCAAGCTGGGACCTGAAAATCTTCAAAGAATACCGACAAGTTAACGCCCATCACTCGATCAACATGTTACACTTGTGAGACATAATTTTAAATCATCTCAGTTTGGTGTTCTGCTAAAAGTAAAAAAAAGAGCTACGTGATATTACTCCAATACTTAGTTTGTTATAACCATTGACTTACAATTATACGGACGTCGGGTCCGCGCTAAAAAGTGTCCGAACTTATAGGGCGTTAAAATCGTATACAGAGCGTCATTCACGCTTTAGTCTTCGTTTGTTCGACTGACAGCGAAGCAAGCAAAATTAGACAGTACTGCGATGACATTACAATTTAAATTCAACGTTTTAGCTTTTTCATATTCCTTTACATGTCACTACGTTTAAATAAGTAGGTTGACTTGGGACATTTTTTCGTGGTTTTTGTATTAGACCCGTCGTCCATTTATTTGTATAAGTCAATGGTTATAACTACGAATTTTTCTATGTGCAAGCACATAGAAAAATTGAGAACCGTATTCCGTTACCAGTGAAACTTTTTTCTACGCGGTTGTATTATTCAGAGGAATTTAAATGTTGTTGCCTAGTAAATGGAATTCAGATTCGCCAATAAACTATTTAATATCAAACGCACATTTTAACTATTCTTTTTATCACAAAAACCTAACAAATATTTAAACACATTTATTTCCGAATGTAGAATAAGCTACTTATGCCTTTCTTTCGAAAGCAGTATTAAGCTGGCTTCCTTCAAGTATGTACAATAATTACTTCATAAACAACACGAAAATGGCACCACTGACTGTAATATAGCGTGCTTTAGTTCTATTTTTATAATTTTCTAGTAACTTAAAAGAGAAAATAAAGATTTAAAGAAAATACCTAATTAAAATACAATCTAACGTAAGTTACTGTACAAAATATGGTTTTGTGTATATTTAATAAATGAAGTACTAGATATCAAAAATATATTTTAACTATCCCTTTAAAAAAAAACAGAAAACTTTTAAACTCATTTATCCTTGTACCATACAACTCTTGAGAATTCTCTTTGAAAATGGAAATTCTTTTCACGTGAGCCATTGACAGTTATTATTACATAAAAACCATCATATACAGAGATAAACAGAATAAGATGAACGGATCACTTCCAAGGATTTTTGTCAGCAATGTAAGAGAACTTGTGTAATAGTCTTTTGTATAGAGGTTTTGTTTTACGATTATTTTAACCTCGTAAAATTTTTAAGTGTGATGTAGGTACCAAATGTAAAAGCGTAAGTACAAAAATATACACCCTGTGTGTGTGATCAACACTCTCCACCAATACGAATGAAATATCCCTAAAAATGATCTTTTTTTATAATATTAAGCGACGCGACGAACCACTGCCACTGCCACTCAAGAGCTTTAAATCGCAAAGATCTTAGGGCACTGCCACTGCGCCCGTCACACTGAGCCACAAGTTGACAAGTTCCATGTGCCTGTAATGTCACCAGAAACCTTACCCTTCAAAACCGGAACGCAGAATGCTCACGTTACTGCTTGCCAGCAAAAATAGGTAAAGTGGCAGTGGCAGAAGAACTCTTTCACAAGAAACTCTACTGCTACTTCTTTGATTTTTAGGTGTCCGCTAGTTTTTTTTACATTTGCAAGAAAGACCGAATTTTTTAATAACAAAATAAGAATCGAAAAATTGTCTCTCATGCGGTTGCACAGATGGACAAGCGTCCGGGCAGTAAAATTTTTATCATAAATAGAAATTTTACTATAGAATTGCGATATATTTTGAAAATCGTAACCCTAGCCTACAAAATCCGGACAGATGGTAAAAATCCGGACGAATGGCTACCCTATATACAAAGAACTCTACAGCTACTGTATTTTCCGTTATTCTCCAAACAGCCGTATCCCTAACATTACAAATGCGCCGCCCCGGCCGTAGAACATAGTGCCGCATGTAGGTTCTGTAAGAGGCTTTTTTCAAACTGACGTGTATTGCGTTTTTCTGTAAAACGAACCTAATATATCCTTAAAATAAATGAAAAAAGCAGAAGTCGCCTTGTTTTTAATCAAGCTCTCACTATAAATGCACTAGCTTTTATTATCACGAATTTAGTCATTGATGGCCAATTTTATTACCTACCTAATAATGAATATAATTGAAATTAAAACATATCATTGTTTCAGAGGTAAATAAACAGCATTTAAAACCGATACTAGGTACTACTCGTTCAGCAAGGCCAATTTCCCCGAGAATAATGAGCAAGAAACTCCACACAGATGGCGCCACGGCAAGAAAGTCGTTAAAAACAAAGATCTGCAACAATAACATAGACAAATTCGTAAAGTAAATTACAGGCACACGGAACTTGGCAACTTATGTCTCAGGGTGAATGACGGGTGCAGTGGGAGTGCTGCAGTGCCCCTCAGATCTTTGCGATTTAAAGCTCCGAGTGGCCCTGTTATGGACAGCAACTGTTATGGACAGGCTTGTAGCTTACCATCAGGCGCACAACTTCTTCGTATCGTTATTGATATTTTAATTTATATTATTTACAATTTCAAAAAATCCTAAATCCTTTGTCATCAGAATACGTACAAGCAACAACCTTTATTAGTTTATAATTCACTATAGTTTTAGAAGTTGTAACTTATAAAACGGATTCCATATTAAGACTGCGTATTTCAATATAAGTCGTAACAAGGTGCGATATAGATATAAATACATGTCGTGTTTTTTAAAAACTTTAGTAGTGCGGGATATGAAATCAAATAATTTAAAACCATTAGTAGTGATGTAGTCAATGTGTAAACTAAGTGTGAGTTTAGAATCTAAAAAAACACCGAGGTCTCTGATACTGTCTACTTTCTGTAAATTTACATTATTAATTGAATAGACATACTTAACTGGTATAAGTTTTTTGGTAAATGTAATAGTTTTACATTTCAAGAAACTAAGCTGTAGTTTATTACGAACACAATAGCTATGTAAAGATTCCAAATCCTTTTGAAAAACTTGCAATCATCTTCACAACTGATTTCTTTAAATATTTTTAGATCATCTGCGTAAATAATGGAGTTTGAGTAACAGATACACTATATCACATCATTTATATATAAAACAAATAAAAATGGTCCCAATATCGAGGCTTGCGGCACGCCAGATGATACAACGAAGAGATTCGACTCATAACCATTTACCACGATTTTTTGTTGCCTATTACTAACGTACAATGCGAACCATCTAGCAAACATCCCTTGATGCTATTGTATAGTAATTTTTCCAGAAGTATTAAGTGGTCAACTTTGTCAAACGCTTTTTTTAAATTAGTATAAACTGCGTCTACTTGTGAACCACTATCTAAGGTTTCAAACAAAAATGTACTGTATAGAGCAAGGTTACTAATTGTTGAAAGATTCTTTACAAATCCATGCTGGTTCGGTATAATGTGCCTGCCGATAAGTGGATACAAGGATTTATGCACTAAACTTTCAAACACTTCACAAAATTGACAAAATGGAAATCGGACGATAATTGCTTGATATAAATCAGATCTTTTACCCTCTTTAAATTCTGGAGTGATATTCGCAACTTTCCAGACAGTAGGAAACACACCTAGGTCAAGACTCTTATTCATTAAAATTAAAATTAAAAATTTATTTATTTCTCAATTTGGTTCAACAATGGTAGATCAGGTCCTCCCTTTAAGCAAATGTATGCTTGTGTTGGGAAAGCCTTGTAACTAAGCTTAAAACTGAGAATTTACAACAAAGTTACATCAGTGGGTTAGTTTTAAGATACAATGATATTTAAAATGGAAATTTTAAAAATGAAAAAGAAAAAAAATTAAAAATTAATAAAAATTAAATGAAAATTGTTCAGTATGTAATGTGTATAAACTTGTGTGTGTGTCTCTGTGTGTGTGTGTGTGTGTGTGTGTGTGTGTGTGTGTGAGAGAGAGAGAGAGAGAGAGAGAGAATGTGTGTGAGTGTGAGTGCGCGCGCGTGCGTGCGTGAAAACATGATGATTTCAAAACTTTTTCGCTAATTCAATCAAAAATTCATCAAGGATTCCATACATATATCTATAAAAAATATGCACAGCTGAGTCTACACTTTCGTACTCTAGAATTTACATCCAATCAATAGATAAAATCTTTTTATTAATTAAACTATAGTCTGCCCTTTCAAATAAATACTTAGTACGGGGAGACTTCTGTAAACCCGTGTCAGAGCATTTCACTAAGTAACTAAGTATAGCTGGATGATGTTGATCTAACGGTAGTAATGGGCTACCATCACTATTTATTAAAATATTGTCATTGCAGAGTAAAAGGTCCAGAATTCTATCGTTAGTATTTAAAAATCTATCATATTGCTTTAAGTCTAAGTATGACATAGCATTTTAGAGAGGAGTTGCTATACTTGTAATACTTTAACTGCCTCCGTGAGAGCTATTAGACCGTTGTTCCCAACAAATATCCTTAAGATTGAGTCTCCGACGACATAAACGACAGAAGGCGCCAACTTGCCACACAAGTCACAAAGGTTGTCAAAATAATCGACATATATCGCATTTGCAGAGCTTGGAGGTATATATGTTGCTACTATTAATAACTGATCAGTAGAAACACAGGTGGGTGGTGCGCACCCGCCAATCTACTCTCACTCGCACCGCACCGCGGACACACATAGGTCTCGATTCACGGCGATTAAACAGCCGCCACCACTTAACTTCGATGTGGTGTTAAGATCCCTATCGCATCTAAAAACGTTATACCTATCATCTATAAATTCACTGTTCAAAATGTCCAGAAATCTTATTACAAAAGCATAATACATGATGTCCTCCTTGTTATAACTAACGCATTTTGTACCTAATTTTCCAGTTATTGGCACTCAATTTTTTATTTGATTTTTAAAATAACAGTTTCGCTGATAGAAATACCCCAAATAATAACCTAACCTCCGGTTAAAAAAAAACGACCTCAAAAGTCATTCATCCCCTAGTTTGCAACCCTTAAAAGTGGAATATTTTCTTGAAATTGAAATGGGACCACAACTGAGGTACTTTCTTTCCAACTAAAAAGAATCATCAAAATTGATTCACAAATGGCGAAGTTATATGGCGTAACATACTTACAAAAAAAATTGACAGACGAATTGAGAACCTTCTCCTTTTTTTGAAGTCGGTTAAAAATGTCGAGAAACCTACGTTAGTTAACACAAGGAGAGTAGCTTTTCCCCTCAAATGATTTTGTGAAGACGGCTGACACGCACGGCCTGTTAGTTATATGAAGTATAATATCTTGCAAAGTACTCGTATACTTACGAATATCTCTTTCCACTAGGATGCACGAAACCACAATATGCCATGGGCATCTCCGTTTTGCACACGATTGTCACATCTTCATTTTCTAATGCCAATACGACACGCAGATCTTCGTTCAATTCGAAATTTCTGTACGCTGTTCAAAATTGACACTTTATTATTAAGATGTAACTTATTAAACTACTTGAAGTAAACATAACAAATTAGTTTTAATTGCGTATTTTAGAAAAAAGAATCAAGTTCTCAACAAAAACAAAAATCAAATAAATAAAATACCATAAACTTTAGTTGAAACAAACAATAAGCTAAAAATAATAAAAAACAACGCGGTGTCAGTTTTCATTGTATTAAAATAAGAAGAACACTTGCGGCGTTAACTAAAGATATTCTGACACTACCCTCCTTGCGTTCGATATAAGCCCGTGATAGGTCAAACTACAATAACGGGTGCACATTGTGATAACAAAATGTTTACAAGTCAAGGGTTATTAGATGTTGTATAAGTCATTAAATATATTAATTAGTTGTTAACGCTTATCAATATAAATAAAAATTATCTAAGCACACGGCAGTGTGCCACAGTTCCCAAAAAATTACATTTCGCCGGCTAAATTCGTACTTTCAAAATGCGATCTATAGAGTAGGTACAAAAACAGAATTACAATAAATTTTATTATTATAAATTTATTTTGTAACTGAAAAAGAGTGTAGAATGTGTATTTTAATTGCTCGATATTACGCATAAAAAAGTTAAAAAGTTAAGTTGTCAAATTTAGCCGAGGCGCGACGGTTTGTTAATAAATATTGCGTAAACTGTAGGTACGTCCCATTGCACTGCACGTACTTTTTCAAGGGAGGGAGAAGCGAGGCTGAAAAAAAAAACCCGTGATACCGTAACAAATATTAAGCATGTTGATAAAATTATCTCCGTATAAAAAATATGTTATTAAAAAACAAAAAGTTGGAAAGACTGTAAAGGGAGTCGAATTCTCCGAATTCTCTTTAGATTACCTATTGTTGGGTCGAAATCCAACATTCTGGCCACCTAATATAAACTTGACAGGTTTCAGTGATGTGTCACATTCATTAAAAATAAAGTACATAACGACGAACCCTACGTGTAACAACGTAAATGTAAAATAACAAAACAATTAATTCGGAGAAGCGTAGATTCTCACATCTCTGTCACTACAACACACAATCACTCACACACTCAGACACACACTCACTCACGCACTCAGACACACTCACTCACTCACTCACGCGCTCACGCGCGCACACATAATTTGTTTTACTTATTTTTTACTTCCTCCTCAGTACTTTGTATTTCGTCATTACTACTAACATGACTATCCTAGGGGTTGGGTGCCTGGAGACCCATATTACAAGCTCTGCTTAGTTTGGGCTCCAGTCTCCCACAATACATTACTCTAAGCTTACGTAATAATGTATATTTACTGTAATTGTAACGTTTCTTTGTATTGTGTTGTGGAGATAAATAAAGATATTTATTATTATTATTATAATTTGAATAATCTTGAAATTTTGTGAATTACCTATTATAAATACGTACAGAGTCAACCGTGACCATGGGACCTGTAAAGGGCCCGAAACGTCGGTTTGTTTGAAAAAACAAATATACGCGATTTAAATCCGGAAAAATAGTTTCATTTCCTATGTGTAACAATCGCAAAATACAAAATAAAATACAAATACAAATACATTTATTGCCTGACCATAGGTATAAAATGAGGTCTTAAATATTACATTGGTGTGTACTCCATAGTCTACCAGTTAAGGTGTACAATATTGGTTATGTCAAAAGTTTAAAAAAGATTAAAAAATTAAAAATATTGAAAATTATAACAAATAAAAAATTAAATTAAATTAAATTACATTACAAATACTATAAGAAAAAATAATAATAAACATGTCATTTCCCTAATCACCAAATTTATTATTGTCGTCAAAAAACTCTTGGACACTATAGTACAGCTTGGAACTCAACCATTTACTTAAACAATTTTTAAATTTTGTGTACTCAAGATTTTTAAATTCATTCGGAATACTGTTATATATTTTTACCGACATTACGTAAAAGCTCCTGTGGCAAAAAGCTGAGGTGTGAGTGCCGGAGTGAATTATTCTGTAACCGTATCTTAAATTTCTATTGTTCCTTTCGTTTGCGATTTGAAAACACGACGGGTGTTTCTGAACAAATGCAGCCGCCTCTTTAATATACAGGCAGGGCAAAGGAAGGATTTTGCACCTATCAAAAAATGGCTTACATGAGTCGGTTTGAGCCCCATTGCAAATGATGCGTACACAACGTTTTTGCATTTTAAATACTTGCATAAACTCGACTGAATTTCCCCAAAAAATAATCCCGTAATTAATGACCGACTGGACATACCCAAAGTAGGCTGTTAAGGCCGCATCCACAGACGCATTCTGCACTAATTTACGTAATGGGTACATAAAACGGGAAAGTTTGTTACACAAACTTTTAATATGGGCTTTCCAGCTGCAATTGCTGTCAAGAATAAGGCCAAGAAATTTTGTTTGTTTTACTTGTTCTATGTTAACGTGATTAAACGAAATGTTCAAATCCAGCGGTAGTCTTTTATATGAATGAAATTGCATAATGTTAGTTTTTGCTAGATTTATACTAAGCCCATTTATATTCATCCATTCTATGATGTCACGTATACTGTTATTGATATCACGTTCGTAATTATTCTCCTCTTCACACTTTATAACAGCTGTGCTGTCGTCAGCAAATAAAACCATTTGTTTATTTGTATTCCTTGGAAGATCATTAATATAAAATAGAAATAGTAGTGGTCCCATGATGCTACCTTGGGGAACACCTCTATTATTTATCCTGTAGTCTGATCTATTAATAATTACGGTATTTGCTTCATTACAGAAATATGTCACTTCGGTACATTGCTGTCTGTCAATTAAATATGATGTCAACCAATCTAGTGCTTTACCTCGAATTCCGTAACGTTCCATTTTGTTTAGTAAAATGTCATGATGTACACAGTCAAATGCCTTCGACATGTCAGTAAAAACTGTTGATACATTAGTTCTCTGATCAATACATTCGTGTATGGTTTTTAACAGTTGGAAAATTGCTAAATTCGTTGACCTATTCCTACGAAAACCATTCTGTTCATTCACAATTAGGTTAAATTTATCAGAGAAACTTAATAATCTTTTGTACATAATACGCTCAAATACCTTTGCGAAAATTGGAATTAGGGTCACTGGTCTATAATTGTTTAAAATGTCTTTGTCGCCTTTTTTGTATAGCGGCTTGATAATGGAACATTTGAGAAGTGACGGAAATACACCATTTTGGATGGACAGATTAATAATGTGCGAAAGAGGTGATGCAATTAATGTAGCAGTTTCTTTTAAAATACGTGTACAAATTCCATCGTATCCTACAGATAACGTGTTTTTTAGCGATTTAATTTCATTAAAAACCTCTTTCGTAGTGACTGGCTTAATGTAGATTGTTGATGGATTAATATCTATGCCATTGTAATATTTTTTTACTTCAGAACATTGCACGTTAGGTAAAGATTCTATGAAAAAATTATTAAAACTATTGGCAATTTCCTGAGGATCCACTGTAGGTACCCCATTAACACTAATAGACTTAATTGTTTGTGGCAAATTATCGTTCATACCTGTACATTTTTTTATTATATTCCATGAAGCTTTGCACTTATTTTTTGCACTACTAATGATATTGTTATTCACTATTTTCGACGATTTTCTAATACATTTTTTAAGGATACATTTGTAAATATTATATTTATTTAGCATTTCCTTGCGTCCTCTATAATTGAGATCAATGTATATTTTTCTTTTCACCTTGCTTGATACTTTAATGCCTTTTGTTATCCACTTTTGTTTACTACAATTTTGAATTTTAACTTTTATAGTAGGGAAGCATAGGTCATAGAACAATTTGTACAATTCCAAAAATTTACTATACGCAATGTCAACATTAGATTCAGAATAAACTTCGTCAAAGGATATATTTTTAATACAGTCAATGAATTGCGAAAACCTAAGAACTCGATATACGTATTATAAAATTCTTCGTAAAAGCTTTTTTAATTGTTTTACGTGGTAGCATCTGAAACAAGTATGTAACAGTGAGAAGGTAATATTATGAAAAACACAATTATAAAAAACATACTTGACTAAGTATAATTTAATATTTACTTAATCACTTACTTAGAACACAGGCGGCGACTGAAAAACAGCACTACGCTGAGACTTTGTCCTTTTCATCACTCATAGCGCATAATTTGTTAGTGCGATATCGTGTGTATAATAAATCAAAAATATAATAAATTTATAAATTATTTCTACATATCCATGTAGCAAATACAATATAATAAATTTGGAGTCCATTGAACATTCTTCTTTATTCTTAATTTTTTATGTACCCTATTAGTCATTTCAAAAGCCTAAATCCGCACTGGGCCCTGTTGTCATGCGATAGAAAAAGTTACCCGGAAAAAAAATTTGGAAAAAAAAACACGATTAGCGATCCCAAATAGTTATAAGTATAAATGGTTACCTATCTGTAGTCCGAAATGACATTTTCCAGAAATAATGTTTGGTAGAATTTTCATAACCTCGAAAGTAATTTTGTGAGGAAATTTTTTTTTTCTTTTAAACCTATCTTAACCTAACCGAACCGAATCGTGTCTTTGTGATAAACATTCAACATATCCTGAAAGAACAACTGTTCGTTATAATTCGGTTTTCCGTGTAATGAAAATTCGAACAAACGTTATTTCGTTATTACGTTAGTTATTTTATGCCGTGGGGCGACGGCTTAAGAATACATTGTCGCCTCCCCATACATGCCCGTGGGGGTCGTAAGAGGCGACCGAGGGCGTCACAAGTGTCCATCTGCTTAGCATTGTGGTAGGCTCTGTGCCGACTGGATAGCGACCACAGTACACACGGCGGAAAACCCTCCACAGTGAAACGCTTTTGCGAATCGCGTTCAGGGATCAGTTGGTGTACATCCAGTGCATTTGGCCAGACCGGCAAAATGATAGTGACGGAGTGAAGATATTTGTGTTTTCCATCCGTTACTCTCATCTCTGGACTGTATTCGCACTTTCCATCAGGCGCGGTGCAGTCATTTTGTCGAGTCGCAATAAAAAAAAAAAAAAAAAAAAAAAATTCGGACAAAAAAATATCGAATTTGTTATAGGTTACCGTACATAGTTTTTTTTTTTACTGTCAGAATCTTACAATAAACAGTATAGACTTAACTAGACCCTCAGTTCTCTCTCTCTCTCAATCGCTCTATCTCGCACTCTCTATCTATCTATGTCTCACTCTCTGTATCTCTCGTTTTCACCCATATATTTTGGCAGTCAACAGTTCCATACAGTCCCTTCATATATTAGTATTTTTTCTTTGCTTGATTGGAAAAGGCGACGTGTGTCTGAATTAATTTAATATGTCATGGAAACTTATAATTTTCATTACCTACATTCCAGTAAGTACCTTCAACGTCAATGCAGCATGTTAAATAAACAAATGTACATACCTATTATAAAGCAATAACAAAGAAATCAAAATAAGATTACATAAAATTAAAAAATCTGATAATATAAGTAATTCTTCTTTTTGCTAATTGGTGCGGCCCTTTTTATGCTGGTTTCGCACGGGGCGTTATTTTAAGTCGTGTCGAATGGGCGAACTCGCGCCACGGGCGAGTCCGGGCGGCCTTGCCGGGCCAAAACGCGTGGCGGCGCGTATTCTCTAATGCAGGCTTAGAATAATAACGCATAGAAACCTAGTCCGCACACGCTAAGTGAGGCAAATTGAAGCGCGCCCAAAGGGCCTACACGAGCGGGCGGGCCTTCGGTGCTCAAGGTCAACTTGCACCGCGAACAGATCAAGAATTTTAGTTAAAAATGACGAAATGTGCGGTAAATGAGTGTAAAAATCGTCAGATAAACATAAAATAGATACTAACATCACATTCCACAAGGAAGTAACGCGTTTCAACTTGTATTTTTATTTAGATATTCAGTAAAACTGAAAATTAACCTACTACTAAAACTAGCCTATATGAATTTGATTTTTGCCTCACTTGTGACAGTTCGTTTGATATGAAACTATCATTCTATGCGTTATTATTCTAAGGATGCAGGTATGTGGCGAGAACTTAGTCTCCTTTGGGCTAGTTAGGTAACTTTCGAAAATATCGTATGAACCACGCATAGCTATTTCATAGCCGCCACTTTTGTATTATGAAGTGGCTAACATACTTAATAAAAAAAAAAACAAAAGAAACGAAGCTGGTGCATATCAGCATTCAACAAGATCAGGTCGAGGTAATTTGTTAAGATTTTATTGAATTGAACATGCGTAGCTCGTTTTACGGGCGCACGCGCAGCACGTTTGAAGTTACCGACACGTGGCCGAACCGAGTAGGGGCGGCCTGTTACGGGCGAGCATAGGCTCGCTTGGGCGACCCTCTGGACCACGGGCCGTGGGAAGCCGCCTTTAGCATTTAGCCAGTGTAAAAATAATTGACATGAATTTGACTTTTGACAAATACCTCATTTTGACACGCCGAAATAACACAACGAGGATTCGCTCTGGACCTTTTGGAGGGAAAAGTGTCGTTTTTATTTTGACTTTCAATTATTTTGTGAAATCTAGTTTAAAGTGGAATAGGATAGTGCTATTGTGCCTTAATCGAAGATTAAAACGCGAAATTATACGAATCTCGAACTAAAATACCCGTATCGGCCCGTTTTAAGGAATCCCGAGTCAATCCAAGCACGCCGCCTCAAATTGCCTATCCTCTATGTGGCGGCCATATTTACAGAAACATATTTAAACTTATTCTGCTAAGCGGAAAACTCGACACTGGCGAAATCTTAAAAAGAAGGAACCGCCATTGAGCAAAACGAAGAAGAAGAAGATAACACAACGATGCGTTTCATTAAATCCTGTTATTTCTATATACTAAATCTATAGTTATTTCGTCAATGGTTATTTCAATCAAAATAAACTCGACAGTTCTTGATTTAAGTGTATAAGAAATCGAAATTCAAATTTATCGATTATGTTTTGAATAGAATAGAATTATTTATTTCATATCATCAATGTCATAATAACATTACAATTTAAAATATAATACCAAGGGATAATATGATCGATACAATCGATACTAACGTAAAGATTGTTTTTATCTTTCGATCTAGCATTAGCGGTACAACGAATCAATTTTATTTCGGCGACATTTTCTACAAACATTCGTAATGTAAACAAGATTTCAAAATAAAACTACCTTCGAACTGAGAAGCTTTTAACGTTTTATTTATACGACTTAACACATTCATTATGACCGATAACACCTAAACAATATATTTACAACAGTTAACTTTATTTCCTTCGGCGATTTGGCTTCTTTTTACTTCTGTCTGTCTTCGGGTCCGTTGTAAGTTCTTGTTGCAACTTCTTTAGCATTTGCGGCGTAATCAAACCCTGTAATATTTAAATTGATTAGTATTAGTAGAATTATTATTTTGTTAAAAACAATACAAAGGGATTATTAAGTACTTCGTGTCTAAATCGGCTTAGCGGTTCCTATTGATTTTTTTTTTATGATTCAATATATAAAACGTGCCTGATTACAAATGAGGTAGATTGATGAGGTGGAAGCACGTAATTATTAACTGTATGTAGTGTGTAGAACGTAAAGTTATCGAACCACCTTGTATTTTCAGTATTAAGTGCCTAATCCTTAAACAATGTTTGACTGTCATTTTTAAGTTATTTGAATGTGTTATTCAATTATTTTTATCAAATGACTCCACTAGTTTGTAATAATTATTAATACAAAGATCCAAAGAACGCAGAAAAAATTTCTATCCGGCTGGATTCGAACCACCGTCTTCCAGCAAACCGTGCCAGACGCTATACCAACTAAGCCACGAACCGAACTAGCGGACCTTGCGATTTTTTCTATGTGCATGTCGCATATCGTTATTTTTGGTTTTTAATGACTTTTTTGCCGTAGCGCCATCTGCCAGACATCCTATATACTATAATTCTCTGGCCACACAGAGGCAGCCACCGAAACGTTCCGGGCTTGAATTTTTGTAATGTACAAGTTCATATGAACCCTGTTACACTGAAATGCGCCGTATATATTACAAAAATTCCCGCGTCTAGAACGCTTCCGCGGCCGGAAATGTCTGGCCGGAAATGTCTGGCCTGAGTGTAAAGGATTCATATATGTTTCATATAGTTCGTATTTTTCAAACTCAAACCATCTTTATTTGTCAGGTAAGCAAATTGGACGTAGTTAAGCAAGAAGGACCCAATCCACAAAATGAGTTATATGTACCAAACGGTTCCTAAAGTCTAACCTCTTAGATCAGCAAAAAAATCCAACATATACACATAAATAAATCGACCCCTCGCACGTAAAGTATCGTATGTCAAAATTGCCAAGTTTGCAGGGGAGCCTTTTAAAGGTCTGAATTCTCTGAAATAAGCATAACACGTGACTTTAGATTTCTCACTTTTATTCGGCAAATCTCGTTACACACGTTGAGTATCATAAAATCCTAGGTATCGGTTAGATGATCTATTAGATGATCACTCTATGTGACAAGATGAGTAACAAGCTTTGCCGAATGAAACGGAGAACTTTAAAACACTCCCCTGCAAACTTGGCAATTTCGACATACGATACTTTACGTAGGAGGCGTCGAAATATCTCTGGAGTTATATGACCTTATAAGTTTTGGAAACAAAACAAGAGAGAAATACTTTCAAAAGGTCTCCATTGGATCCTTTTTGTTTAACTACGTCCAATTACACTTGACATCGTCATATTATTTTTACAACTTTCAAATGTGATAAAGGCATTTTTAGCGTATGATCACATGTGGCCTATTATACAAAGGGTACGAAATTAACCAAGCATATAGTCAAACACTGAGGCAAGCGAGACCTGTTTGAAGTATCTAACTAGTTAATATTGTAGAGATTCCGACTTTCACTTACATTATTAAAAAAAAACTCGGTAAAAAACCGTGGTGAAACATGCGAGGTGAAACATGATATATTATGATTCAAATTAACTATTATACACATACCGGCACATGTAGCGGAACAAAAAGAAAGATAATACAAAATAGTAACGTTTATATTTAAATAAATAAGAATTAGACATAAAGCAGCAATAAATATTTTTTAATCACTTTTAATGAAAAAGAAATTAAATTAAACAAACTGCCTTTTTTATTCATATTATACCATATGACGGGACGAACAAGCCATGCGTCTGGTGCATTGCTGCTTGACGGCAGGATTAGGTAAGCTGGCACTTCCCTGGACGAATTCTTTCACAAGGAACTCTACTGCTAAATAAATCGTAATAAGAAAGTAAACAATATTCATTATTATTATTATAGAAACGTAAAGAGAACGATAACCTTCTAAGGTACAAAGAAACAAAGGACATTTGAAATCAATTTTTATGGGCGAATGATAATTATTGTATCCTAGGTATGAAACGTATTCACTGATACAGTTTCAGCACTATCGCTACAGCTGAAGCAAAGTCCGCTTGACAACTAAATTGTTTAACATTGAACTTCGTCCTTTACTTTTCTAATCATGACGATAAATCAATTGGTGATACGCATTTCTTGTGCTATAAATGTGGCCCGATTCCAGTCTCGTGAATGCCTACAGAAATTAAAAATATAGCCGATCCGGTCAACTGTCGGGTTCTGTGACACCCGACAGTTGACCGGTTCATCGTTCAGACATCTCCCACAAACACCCATATGAGAACCATCTAAAATTCTTTAAAATGCTATCTTTATGTAAAACACGTAAATTACTATAAACGTAAAAATACTATAAAAATAATTACGTATGGACTATTTAATGGTCAAATAGATTGCAAATAAATCATTGATAAAATGGGTCTCGCTGTTCCAAGTCGTCTACCAAGATATAAAATAAAAAAATATTCCATATCCCGCATTGTAGAACTAAACTCGCTCTGAACTCCCCAATTTTACGCTTATGCAGAGAGTATAATGCAATTAATAGTGATGTTATTGAAATAGATATTTTTAATAACACATAAAACCGATTGAAACAAAAAATTACTGAATTTCAATGTTTTTTTTGTATTGCAAGAATAAAAAGTTTGTTGTGGTGTTTTTTTTTTTCAAATTCATAATTATTTATCATTTTTATTTTGTACATGGCAACTCACGTGCTATGTTGAGAGGATTGTACTTTGCTTTTTTTTGTTTGTTTCTGTTCCTTACTTGTTAGTCTGATGTTATTATGAATGCTGCGTTTCCCTGTTACTGGGATATATACATTAAGAAAGATACTAAATTTTATATTGTATATGTTCTGTTGGGATACCAAATAAATAAATAATAAATTGAAAACTGTCGACAGATAGACGTTTCTTTTCTGCCATGTTGGGTTGAATAATATGCCGTATATTTAAAAAAAATTATGCTGTTCTGTCTTTAATAGAAATGACTATGGTTTTAAATCTTTTCCTTATTGGAAAGAATTTAAAAATAACTATTAGCTATAATCGAGGAGTGATAGCTTTCCGTGATTATAAATTTGGAAAATGGGTGACTGGTCAAACGAGACTATTTTGTTATTTCTGGAGTACTACCAAGCACAACCATGCATTTGGAATCCGAAGCATAAGGACCATAAAGACAAAAAAAAATTTAGCATTTGTTGACGTTTGGGGCTTGTGGCAAACGGCAAGCGTGTGGCCGCCATAAGACAATGTTAGAATACGTCCGCTATTTAATATTCGACTTAATATTCACAAAAACCGTATAAAGCACATAAAAAAGAAGTAAATTTTTTAAA